ATAAAAGAAAAAGATTATGTCTGGAGTAACTTTCAATAACAACTACCTTCAGAAATTCTTATTTAAATGGTCTGAAATGCAGTCCTAAGTGAGAAAACAGAGGCTCAAAGGATTTAATAATTTACGGAGGCCGGCACAGTGATACGTATCTGTAGTCCCAGCTGTGGCAGGAGGATCACTTGGGCCCACAAATTTAGAACAGCATGGGGGACATAGACCTCTATTTCAAGAAAAAAAAGAAAGTCACCCAAAATAATCTAACACTGGGATGTGAAGAAACTAGGAATTGTCCTCAGGTCACATGCTGTGAGCTTATTGGTTGTTTGGAACATATGTAGAATATTATAGTAGCAAGATTGTATCATTTCCTTAAAGGATGAAAAAAATTTTATTGAGCTTTTTTTTAACATATTATTATACCTTATGAATACTTTTTCTTGTTTGTAGTATTGGGGATTTAACTCAGGGCCTTTGCTGGTAGTCAAGTACTCTTTTCTCTTGAGCCACACCCCTAGTCCATTATGAATGTTTTTTCTAAAGAAATGCCTCTCCAATTTTATAGATAAAATTGGAGAGAAATAAAATCCAGTAGAATATGCATTTTACTTTATAACCTTTCTGGAACACAGCACCAACATTCTGTTCTGTGGAGCTCTCTGAAGTACTAGACTTTTTAAAGCAAACAGGGTGCTTAGAGGAAGGTACATACTGCTAAAGAGATAAAATGACTTTCATAATTACTTTACAATGATTAAATATTCCAATTTTTATTTGGGACACAGAAGTATAGGTTTATTTGGACTGTAAATCTGAGTAACAGCAAAGTCATTTTTATAACTAGATTTTGAAATATGAATGTGAATTTTACTTATGAAGCTGTGATTTTCTTTTATAGTCTAAATAACCGTATGTAACCCTATTCTCCAGTCTTTCTCTCCATCCTTTCTAATCCTTATCTTTTAGGTCCTATGCAGTGGGTAAAGTGGGTCACAATCTCAAATTTCCACTGCACCATTTAACTTAGTAATACCAACTATGCCTTCCAGTTTTTGAAACCTTATATTTTATACTATACTTAAAAGATAACCAGCTGACAAGAGCAACTTAAAAATAGCAGACCATAGACAGGTGACAAAATGTCACACTGGCAGCACCAGACTGCGTTAACAAAAATCACCAGATGTCACACACTTGATTCTATTTTCACAGCTGATTAAACAGCAATATTTGTTGGACAAAAGGAAGAAAAAAGAAATGGCCTCATCTGAATTTGGCAGTGGGTTTTCTCTTGCTGTTATGTATTTTCTTTCTCCTCCAAGATCCCTTAATAAGTGTAAAATTTAAGATGCACAACACATTAAGAAAAAAGTTATAAAAAAAAAAAAAAGGAAAAAATTATCCAGTTATTCCAGTCATAGGAAAGAAACCTCACATGTGCGCATTCCCTACACTGGAAAAGCGTAAGTCAAAATGCTAACTATGATCTTCATTTCTCCATATTGTCTAATTTTTCTACAGTGAAAACATATTGCACTGTATTATCTACACATTAATTTTTGTTGTGGTAAAGAAACTAGCTTAAAGAAATCATGATTTTATTTTTAAAAATGCATTTAGTTAGAGAACAATATTAGATTATATTTAGATCACTGGTTCATTGGCCCAGAGTTTCTTATAAAATCTTAATTTTTATCCAGAGATCCATTGAAGACAGGAATACCAGAAAGGTCAAAAGTACTCTTGCTTCTCAGCAATTAGTGATGCCTTCCATCTGCAAAACACCGCCTAAGGCTCCTTAAGAAAGATTGAATTGGAAGTAATCAGTATAGGATAGAGAATAGTAAATTAGAAGATAACTAACCTTTCTTTCAGTTTTATCTTTACAAGCTGAAAGTTTCTAACACCTTATAAAAAGGGTCAAAAGGATCCATGTAGCTGTGTTCAAATTCTGGAGGACAAAATGGATAATATCCTTTTAAGTTTGGGAAGATCGATACTTCCAGAAACACAAAATTTCTTACTGATGCAGTGGCTGTAAACTACATAATTTTTTACCACAAATATAGACAGGAAAAAGAGGTTGAATGAGGATTACCTAAATTTGGGCTTCCTTAATTTCCTTGATAACCCTTTATTTATTCTAATAATATTAGGGACCATCATCTTTTTTAGGAACCACACCTTTCTCTGAATATTCCTTGGTCAAAGATTGAAGAGATCTTCTTACATCCTTAAATTCTAAATGGGTAGTGATTTTGAAGTCTTCATTGATTTTTGAAGTACATTTTCAGTGACTGTCTCTTTACTGTAAAGTTTGAATACCCCAGAATATAATGAAGCTAGTTTAGAGCAAATCACATGAGTTTTCATGGGTGTTAGTATTTTCTGGTAGAAGTCCAAATAAGGTCTTGATTGTCTGGAGATACTGAAGGAGAGAACATTAATATAGCTAATTGAAACCAGAATGTAAGTTCTCTCTTCCGAGTCAAAGCCTCGTTCTAGTGACAAACTTTTCTATAATTTCTTCTGATCAAACTGATGATAGGAGATAGCACTCATCAGACATTCTAAAATGACTTAGGAATTATGAAAACATAGTAAGGCATATGGAGCAATTCCATAGATAGATACATTAAATGTATCTTTTAACAATATGCTGTTCTTTGGAATGCCTTAATAATCAGCTTCTAGTAAATATGAAAAATCTATGAGATACTTAAAAATAAAACAGGCATCATTTTTCTATAGAAAATTTTATTATATATTCTGAAAAAGAATTTTAATATATTATAAATGATAGCAAAATTGTGTTCACAAAACCAGAGACAGGTACAATATCTTTGTCATAATAAGATTTAAAAATAATAAAAACTAAAAATAATTTTTACTGAAGTCCTTATAATACTTAATGGTAAAATTAGAACAGTTTAATCAGAATCTATAAATTATTGATGATAGGTTAACCGCCCACCCCCGACACACACACACACATGCTCACACACCTATACACCAATACAAGTGATAGACTTTTGAGGGTTTTGGTTTTTTCACTTTTTTCCCCATAGTACTGGGATTCAAGCCCAGGGCCTCATGCATGCTAGACAAGAGCTGTACCATTGATCTCTACTCCCAGCCCCTTTACTAACTCTTAATGTGAAATGACTTTTCACAGATTATCTTGACATGGTGGTCTTTAAGAAATTAACTTGGTTAGACAAAGACATGATTTGTCTAGGAATTCATAGTTTCTCCTTTTTCTTTGAGGCAGTTGCTTTGTTCTGTCCACTATGATACTTTTCTTGTGGATCAGACTATGATACTTTTCTTGTGGATCAGAAGAGCTTGACAGTGCTGATCATTGTCCTCAATAGCAGAGTTTACTACCAAATGATGACCGACCCCTTGGCAATTGTATATAAAACGAATCACTTTTACCTCAACTCTAGCTTTTTCTACCGTTCTTGCGCTAAATACAATTGGCATTTATTATTTAAAAGACTTGTTTCTGAGAATCTCACGATAACATGGACATAATTTGGGCTTGAAAACCTTGCAGAGCCAAGTGCATAAATATTAGCTTTATACAATAGTTATTATTTCAGTAACTCTTGAAGGAATTGATCGCAAAAACTTATATTAAGAACATTTTTTAGCAGACTCTGTTTAATTTTTCTTTTGATACCTCTACCTCTTTGTCTCCGATAATTAATAAAAAGCATCATGTGTATGTAAATGAGAAAATGAGACCTGTTGAAACTATTCTAGGAATAGGGGGAGATAGGATAAAAGAGAATGATAGAGGGGGTGAATTCAGCTATGATGTATTTGATATATTATAAGAACTTTTGTAAATGTCACAATGTACCCCCAGCACAACAATAAATAAATAAAAAAAAAAGAAAAACAAAACATCAAATGTCTACATTTTCAGTCTTATCCCATCATTGGAAACATCTGATTCCAACTTATCTTTTTTTTGGGGGGGAGGGGAGGTGGAGTGGTCTGGGGTTTGAAGTTAGTACTTGCTTGGCAGGTGCTCTACCACTTGAGACATGCCTCTAATCCATCCAGTTTACCATTTTATAGACAAGGGACTACTAAACTTCATGAAGATCTCTAGGGTAAATATTTTAGGCTTTACAGGCCACATTGCCTCTGTCACATATTCTTTGTTTTTGTTTTGTTTTGCAACTCTTTAAAAATGTAAAAATGGAGCTAGGGGCGTGGGTCAAATAGTAGAGTGCCTGCATGGTAAGCTCAAGGTCCTGAGATCTAACCTCTGTCCTTGCAAAACAAACAAACAAAGAAAAGTAAAAATGATTCTTAGAGATATACAAAAACAGGAACCCAGTCAGTGTGGGCAGAGGTTTGTAACTCTTGTTATAAACATAAAGATAAAGATCTAGAGATTAGCATTGTGCCCAAGGCCATAAGACTAGTTAGTGGTATAGGCAGCATAAGAACTCTAGGTTTTTAAGCCATTTCCTCCACTGTATCTGTTATATAAATTTTACCATCTTTCTTTAGTTTGCCATTCTGATAATTATGTTGCATTTTTGAGCCATTATGAAGTCTGCATCTTTTTATTTTCTCTGTGCTTCAGGTTTATATGCTTATTTGAACTTTTTTAAAAAAAATTTTGCTGCTTGAATTTTGAAGGGCATTGTGAGTGATTGTATAAATAAAATGCTTAATCAGAAAATTGGCATGTTTAAATCAGAATGTGGGAGATGTGTAAATTTCAGACTATTATAATGGAAGCTTCTTTTTTGTTTTGTTGTCTTTTGTGTTGAGACTTTGGCTTTAAGACTTGTTCATATATGTGTTTTATGACTTGATTTAAAAATTATTGTAAATGCTTTGGCCTTTGATAGCATTGCTATAAGTTAATCTGTTCTAGCTTTTTGTAATGTTTATATTTTGTAATATCTTTGAAATGATTTTTGAAATGTTTTTTGTGCTTTTTTCTGTGCTTAAAATTAAATTATTTTATTTTCTAGGACGCATGGGTATAAATTTCCATCATCCGGGAACAGATAACATTATGGCACTTAACAGTAAGTCTTCATGTAAAATATTCTGTAAAATTAGCAGTCAAGTTTGCAAGATATAGTTTCCATTTTTTGTAATTAACTTTTCATTACATTTCAACCTTTCATTGACTAGTATAGACCATTATTCTATATCAGCAGTTCTCAAAAGTGTGCTCCCTAGACTAGGAGTGTCAGCATCACTTGGGAAGTCAGTAAAAATGCAAAGTTTCAGGCCCTTCACCAGACCACTGAATGAGAAGCTGTAAAGAGGGGCCCAGAATTTTGTATTTATAAGTTCTAGAGGTGATTCTGATATAAACTACAGATTAAAAATTGCTGCTCTATAACCAGCGTGTGCAAACAACAGCCACTGCAAACAGGCCTAATGCCTGCTTTTGTAAATAATGTTTTATGGGAACATCGCTACAACTATCCATTTATTGGTTATCTGTGTGCCATTATGCTACAAAGGCAGAGCACACAAAGCTCTGGCTTTTGTCTGGCCCTTCACAGAAAATGTTTGCAACTCCTGCTCTGTACAATTAGAGTGGGATAATGAAGGAAGGAGATGAGGGAAAGAGGAAAAGGAGTAGGGTAGATAATGTGAATGAATAAATCAACAATGTATATGTTACTCACAATTTCCTCATTGTGGTAGATAGCTGACAGGTGACTTCAGATGAACATTCAGGGTCTTCCATTAGTGATATTTGTGTGATACAGTGTTAACATCTTTGCATGCTAGAAATGGTTTTGTCAGTAATTGTTAGGTTAAGTTCTATAGCAAGAAAAAGCTAATTAATGCAAAGTCATTGCATTAATTAATACTGGAAGAAATACCTGGCCAGCGTCAACTCTCTTTCCTAGTATATATAGACCAAATAACTTTGCAGAATGACAGTCTAGACAGAAATTGTTTGTCAGAAGGACCTATACAGGTCGTTGAATCTCTCAGGACTAAAATTTTCTCCTCTGTCAAGGGAGTGATAGTAGACTGTACAAGCTGACTCTTGATACAAGTGGGAGACTTGTTGGGTAAATCTAGGGTTGTGGTCAAACTCCAGAATATTATTTCACATTTCCTTGCTTCTGACAGGCAGCCTGCTTACCAAGGAGCGTGGCTGAGGACCACTAGCAGTGCTTGATGATACAGGTCCTAATCCATGATGTGCATTTTCTCTGTATTGCTAGTATTCCATTTGGGAAGGTTGTGAGGACAATTAAAAATCCCATAGTATATGCCTCTCATTTCCTATTTTCTAAGACAAAGATCGCTTCACAGATTATGCTACTTCTAGTTTTTTTGTAGTGAGATGCGAACTTATAAACATGCTTACCTTGCTGAGTTTCAGCAATAATTATGGAAAGACTTCAGTTGGATAAAGGGATTTAGAGCTGAATATAAAAGAATAGTAAGGTAGTGTTCTTTGCTTGAAGTAATTAGTGTGTATCTTGAGAAATCATCTAATTTGACATGATGTGAGTCTTCCTCTGGAAGAGGAATAGTTTGTGACTGTAAAAAAATGAAAGTTTTGATTGTCTTTGATTTGATTTTAATCCACTGCTTCTATTTGTTTAGGTTGTTATTATTGTTATTATCATTGTTGTTGTTGAACTGGGGTTTGAACTCAGGGCCTTGTGCTTGCCAGGCAGGCACTCTACTACTTGAGCCACACCCCTAGCCCTTGTTTAGGTTTCTTAAGACAGGGTCTTGCTGCGTAGTCCAAGCTAGCCTGGGACTTGCTATGTAGCCCAGGGTAGCTTCAAACTTGCCCTCCTGCTTCAGGCTCCAAGTGCTGGGTTCTCTGCTTTTAAATAAGAGATTTCATTTGAAGAAGTTTCTACTTTGCTAATGTTGCTTAAATCCCCTTTTAGCCTCAATTCCCTCATCTCTGATAGAAGGGAACAAATTAGGTAATCTTAATGACTGATTTCAGCATGTATATGCTGTGATTTTTTTTTAAGTTTCAGTGAGGATTAATTTTAATATAACAGGATAAAGTAGGGAGAAGTGGGGGAAAATGAAGAAATATTTCCTGTTCCCATCCAGGAAATGGGAATAAAGACTTCTGTGTTATTTTTTAACAAAGTACCAGAAGAGTCATTTTGTTGATAACCTGTATCAAATGAGGAACTGTACATAGTTGCAACTTGATGGCAGATAGGAGAGTACCTTTTAATCTTCAAATGCTTCTGCTTTTGCCATTTTTATTCCTTTCAAAGTTGGCTCTAATTTGAGGTGATCATGATCCTCCTCTGGAGGCACTTGTGGGAGGTGCCCACTTCAACAAATTGTCTATGATAAAGTACTTCCTTTTGTATAGTTGAGCCCTGCTCGTTTAGTAACAGGTAGGTAGCACATGTGCTTCATATTTTTTGTCTTCCTTTTTCTGCCTTCCATTTATTGGCCCAGCAGTTATTGTTCTTGTCTCTCTTTCCTTTCCCTCAACCTTCATATAAGAATAATTGAGATAAAGTCATAGATCTTGAAAATTTTATTAATTCAGAATTCTTGATTATTGTTAGATTAAAGTTGAACTATATTTTCAGGTCAGAAGGGACTAACTAAGAAAATTAAGGAGAAGCTGGGTGTGATGATCATGCCTATAATCCCAGCATTCTGGAAGCCAAGGCAGGAGGATTATGAGTTTGAGGCCAGCTGGGGTTGTACGGTATAACCCTGTCTCAAAAAAAAAAAAAAGAAGACTACAGAGATTTGAGGCAGTGCTTAAAACTTTTATGAAAAGGAAACAAAAGTTAACTGTAGTTGCTTCTTTCTTACCCCTTTTTACTATGCAAATCCATGATTTCTAATTCTCCACACGAAGCTACCATTTACCAAAAACCTTCCATTCTTTTTCTACTTCCTTGGCTCACAAAAACGTAAATCTTTACTGGAGATAACCATGTACTCACTGTCAGTACTACTTTCCCAGCTTTTTTTTTGCTTGCGGTACTGGGATATTCCTAGTGCATATCTCCCAGATAGACTTTTCACTGAAAATCACCATTGCTGAAGTCATCTAGCAGATATAAAAGAAAGTTTAGGAAAGTATAGTAGGATACTAACTGTGGAATTAGCAGTAAAACTGTAGACCTTTAGGGTATGGGAATACTGGCATGGTTTCCATAAAGCCAAAAACACACTGTTTTTTCCTGTTTGAGACTATGAATCTAGTAAGAATTAGCAGGCCAGCTTTCGGGCTGGAACCTAAGACACACAAATTGTGGTCTTTCCTAAAAATATTGAGTCCACAAGTGTTGTAGAATATAAAAGGATAGACGGGGAACGCTAATCCATCAGTAAGACCTGATACTTGTCCAGTATTTCCAAAGTAAGGTTAGTTCTGAAACAATGTGCTCTTTCCACTAAAACAGCTAATATACTTTTTTTCTTAACTTTTCTAATAATTCTGGCCATAGCTTTTTCATCTTCACCCTTACACCTAAAACATTAGCAATTTGCAGCAATACATTTTAATTTTCTTACTGGAAAAGGAAGGGAGTTACTCAGTGCTTCTAACTACATATATAGTAGTAGTCCTTTCAGCTAGCTTTTTCTAATACTAATAGTAGCTTGTGTTTTTGTTTTTATACTGTGAGTATAAGATTGCTAAATAGTATTAATGCCTTGATTCAGTGATATTTTTTCCACTGATATTTTTCCTTAAAAAAGGATATTGGTGTCTCTAACTGTTGGATTCAAGTGAATGAAATTAGTGGTCAAATTAATGTTCAAAACCAGAATGCCTCTTACCACTTTACTCTAAGAGAGATCACTGCCAGTATATCCACTTTATTTCTTTTACTAATCAGCTTCACTTTTTCCAAGTAGAAAAATAGGCTGAGGAAAACAAGCAAATATAAGAAGGTTAGTTCCAGGGACCTGTCTTCCAAGCCAGCTGGAAGGCAGTGAAATCTGAGGAACAGTCTATTAGCATAGTGTTGCAAAGCATTGTCCAGAATCAGGCAGAGCTGATTTCACCCCTTACAAGCTGAATTCCTTTAGGATTACATTCTTAACTCCTCTTTGCCTACAGATATTTCCACCTGTAAAATGGAAATAATGATCATTAAAGTGGCTATCCATGAATCTTACAAAATTATCAGAGTGCCTAACTTTAGGTAAAATGTGAGCTGCTCTTATGGTAGCTTGCATCAGCTTTATTGCTGCCTTTTTAAGATCTCCCTTTCTTTGCATGTTAGAGTCCCAAAATATGAATTTATCTTACATTGGTTTTATTTAGATAGTTGCTTTCTTGATGGAATTTCAGAGAGCACACTTGTAAATCATCTTGTAGACTATAGTGTTTGTACTGGGATACGGTCCTATCTGTTTCTGTGTGCGAAACTTTCACTTTGGATAATTTCTACCTGTCACCTGAACTTGAAATATGTATCTTGTCTGAGGCCTATAGCCCCTTCCCAGTTATTACATCTCTTGTGATGTTGGCACGTTAAAAAGTGCCTTATATTGCTTATTAGAATGTAAAATGGTATGGCCACTTTGGAAAATGGTTTGTCAGTTTCTTAAAAAATTATAAACAAATCTATCCTATGATGCAAGAGTTTTCCTAGGAGTCTGTCCAAGAGAAAGAATGAAAGCATTTGTGCACACAAAGACATGTATGTAAATGTTGATGGCAGCATGGTTTATGATAGCCCAAAAGGTAAATAATCCAAATGTTCCTTCCCCACCTACAAAATTGGTGAACTGTTCTACATCCATATGATAAGGAGGGCATCTAGTTGAGCAAGTCTCTGAATCTCCCTAGCCTTAGTTTAAAAATCTACACATGGGCAGTTATGATATAACTATAATTACCTCATTGTTTTTGTAAGGTTTGGATGAGGTAAGGCACAGGCAAAATATTATTACTGATACATTTGGGAAGTGAAGATACTTTTCTTCTTCAGAGAAGATACTACCACAGAATTTTTTTTTTTTTTTTTTGCAGACAGTAGTTTTATAAGTAACAAAGCATTGTTATTATTATTATTACTATTATTTTGGTGGGACTAGA